ATCTGGACCGCCAAGTCGATCCGTGGTTCAGATCAGACCCGTGGGGAAGTGGCAGCCTCAATCCTTGGCCGCCAGGCCCAAACGAAAAACGTTTGGGCCGGTTTCCCGCTAAGGGCCTGCACCTGCAGACCCGGGTCTGAACCGGTTTGCTGGAGACCTACCGTCGGCCTTTCCAAAGGTCCGGCCTTTAACCCAGGCCGGACTGGCCCAGCGTGGCCACGGTCTGGGATAACCCCCTAGACCTAGCCGTCGGGCCTAACAGGGCCCATGCAAAATCCAGTATGTAACAACAAGGGTCTAGTTAGTAGGGGTTAAAAACGGGTGTTAGACTGGTGAGGTAGGTAGAGATAACCGTTTGGGACCAAACCGGCACGGCCGTATGGCCGGGCCGAAGAATGAACGGGCCCAAAACGGCCACTGAATTGAGGGATTATACCTCTAGATAAATAAAAAAGGGGTCCTGCGATAATTTTCGCACGGGATCGACTGTTCACCTTCCAGATCGGGCCTGTACCAGCTCCGCACTATTTTTAGCGCAGGCGCGGTAGATTTTTAGATCCCGCACTGTTCTTAGCAGGGGGCGGTCTGTTTTTAGCTCCTGCACCATTTTTAGTGCAGGCCCAGTCTACTTTTAGATCTTATGCTACTTTTAGCGCGGGACTGACTGTTCTTCTTCCAAAGTCAGGCCAGTCCCAGTCCCGGTCTAAATTTAGCGCACTCCCGATCACTAGGCCCCTCCGCTATAAAAGGAGGGGCCGGTACCAGTACTAGAGGGATGCATGTGATGCTGGGAGATGACTGAGGGAGGACTGCGGGCATCAAGGTGGAGGGGAAAGGAAGTCGAGGCGCGCCGGTTAGTTTTCCCTTGCCCATGATTTATTTACTTCTTTTTTTTTTTTGAATTATTAAATTTCCTTCTCTTGTGTGATCAGCCGCTGATTGGCTGATCACAGCCTAGACAGTGCAGCGGCACACTGGCCCTAGGTGAAGGCCATGCTGCTGAGAGCTGTAGACGTCAGATACAGCACACATGTCTTCGTCATTTTGTGAACATGACACACACACCTTGACGCCTAAGATTCTGTAAGCGCTAGATGCCTGTGCCTGTAAGATCACCATACAGCCACACGGCCCTCAACCTACCTGGGCCTATCAGGTCAACATGCACAGACGTGGAAAACGGAAATTTGGCAGTCCTGCATTGCTGTGCATAGTGGGTGGAAAGTGGGCCCGCAAGGCTGTGGACCCATGGGTACAAAAGGCAGTAGACCCGTGGGTACATGAGGCAGTAGACCTGCCGGTCCGTCAGCCCATAGGACCCAAGTGTGGCTTTTTTAATTGTGTGGTTTCTTTACCATTTCTCGATTTTTGTGTATCATCGTGTTACGCAGGGGCCATGCTCATGCTCATCTTCTCTGTATCGTTCCAATTTTAAACGGATGTCCCGAAGGACCAGTATGATGTTTTGGCCAACCCAAAAACAGTTGTCAAAAATAGGCCGTTCACGAATGGGGGAAAACCTGGCTCCATCCTGGGCACCTGCACATTCAGGTACATTCCGAGTGTTCCCAAACTTCACACAGTGTACGCACTTCTCCCAAAAAATAAAAAAAGTACCCGACGGTCCGTTTCGTTACCCCTCTCCAAAAGTGGGCAAATACCATGAATTTTCACATCACTGGATCAAACCCCTAAAATCCGTAGCGTGGGCCGTTTTTTTAAGGAGGAAAAAGCCCCCCTCTGGCAAAAGCCTGCACCACACTTCTTTGCAGCAACTCGTCGGTGGTGGAGGGTGGTGACTGCAGTCCTTCCGAACATCATCTATTAGAATTGGAAGGATAAGGCTAGCATGAAAGAACGAAAAACAGTAACGAAAGAGGGTCTTGACCGCAAGTTTAATATCTTGCTAATTATTTCAATAAAGACCAACATGCGAGGCACAAGGCCTCGATACGCCCTACTGGGCCCTATTTTCAACACAGTCGGCCGCCCTAAGTGAAAGCACGCTCGACTGAGGCCTACAGGCCATTTTTGGGTCACCACACAACTGGGGAAAATTCAGGCAGTTGCGCAGCGCCAGTTGGTTGGAAGCATCCAGGCCCAGGCTGCCCTTTTTCGTGTGTAACTGGGGTAGGCCCTGGGACGGATACACAACATGGACCGAACACAGGCTGAGGGTGGTTGGGCGCTGGTAACCACCACAGGCCCTGGGCCTGTTTCCTCTGTACTGAGGCTCAGCCTCGCGGGGCCTACCGGAAGCTTCTGGGCCGGGTCCCAGTACCGCATTAACGCACGCAGCAGCAGCAGGCCACTTCGATATAGGGAAGGGCCTGCCCTCGGATTGGACATTCGGGCACTGGCTGCATGCTGTGCAAGCTCTGCTGCGCTAACGCTGGCCAGCACTCACGCGCTCACGGGCGACCTGGAAGGAGCAGGCAGCCATAGTCGAGCTACGCTGCTGCATGCTGGATGGGGCGCATGGTGGTTCTTGGGCGCATGGTGGTTCTTGGGTGCATGTGGTATCTGTGAGTTGGGGATCGAGGTTGTGAGTGATACGAGAGACATACCTGGTGCTTGAGGCGAACGGCATTGGCCGAGATCTGCTCGTACTTCGGGGAGCTGTTGACGTCATCAGCGGCATTGTAGATAGGCTAGATAGGATCTGCCATCTGTAGTCTGGGCGCCGAGCGCCAGATAGGATATCGACATTGGTCCTTCGTTGATGATGATGAGACTATTCCAGCATTGTCAATTATGACCTTTTGTTGTGCTCTTATTTGGTGAAACTCGTGATGCAATTCTGCTATTGGTTCGAGGTCACGACTATCTGGTCACATGTGTATGATGCTGTTTGATTTCTGAAGTTCGCTATCGCTCATTTTCCTTGCAACCACCTTTCTTGATCTTTTGGCTAAGATCAAGTGAGTGCATCAGATCACATCACAATGATCACATGATATTAATTTTTATTTCTTCTCGACCTTTGGGCTGATCAGATGGGCAAGCATGCTAGCTCTAGCATCTAAAGCTGCCTCTGCATCTCAGTACTGCAAAGTGAAGTGCAGCAAAAACAAAATGGCCCCCAGAGAAGGAAAGAAAAGAGCCGGACAGCAGCCTCCCAGAGAAGAAGAGACGCTTTTGTCTGCTTCAACTTTTTTACTGTCCCCAAAGAAAAACAAAACATGCCCCAACCTATTTTTGCCTATAGCTTGCCCATAGCTTTAAATTTCTCAATGGAAAGATTTGCATGCCCTGGCACTAGAGTGTGTTTTGGCCACAACTTACATTGTGCCAGACCACTTCTGCCATTTGGAAAAACGACATTTTTTCAGTCACCAAAACAGTGTTGACCATACCACCATTGTTTAGGGCAATGCCATCCGGCAGCACTGTGGAATGTGTAAATGAGAGATTCTCTTTCATCATCCTGAGCGAGTAAGCCCAGAGATGCGTACCTGGCCAAGGATGGCACAAATAAATTACAAGAATGAGACACAGGCGTACAACCAACGCAACAGAATCACTCGGGCAGTAGCAGAGCTCAAGCACCGACAGGTGCCACACCAGTACAGGGAGATGACAAGATGCTATTGGACTGCAGCCAAGAGAACACATGGGAAAGTGCAATGTAAGGATTTGTGTAATAAGCCAGGGCAAAAATCCCCATGGTTTAGAAAGGAAGAAAACAGAGAAAAGGAAAAGGGAAAGAAAAAAAAAAACATGGTTTACGGTCCTCAATTGTCGTGCCCCTCGGACAGCGATTGACATTTCCGAAAATCCCGCGGCGTCGTGTGGGCCTGAAATATGTTCAATATGACCCTACCGATACCCGTTTCGAATCTCCAGTATGCCCCGGTAGCTCCCCTCCCAGAGCCAGCGGAACGGCCGCGAGTACCACCAATGGCCACAGGGCCATGCTGGAAAGTTGCACCCCTCACTGACAGGGGCCTGCAGGAAAGTTCAGAGGCCCCAGGGGCACGACAGGGTAAGTCGGCCATTGGCTCCGTCCAAGAAATTGCAGGAAACACTACAATCTCACAAAGGGGCACGCTGCAAATAAATAGGCCTGTTTTCAGTGGGCACATCAAAAAAAATTCCCATAGAAACTAACTTAGAAAGAATATCCTTCGGGAGATTGGAAGGATACAGAGAAGATTAGCATGGCCCCTGCACAAGGATGACACCCATAAATCGATAAATTGGGGGGGGGGGGGGGGGGGGGAACAAGAAAAAAACAGACATACATAAAAATTGATTGTGTGTGTGTGTGTGTGTATGTGTGTGTGCGCGTGTGTGTGTGTGTGTGTGGGGGGGGGGGGGGGGGGGGGGGCGCGAAATAAAAAACAAATAGGATGGAATACTTCTTTGGGCACATCTGCATTTGATCTCGCACACACTGTGCCTTTTTTGCTCTCGTTTGAAGTACACGACGTGCGGGCACTCTTATGTGCTTGATTCCTTTAATCACAGATTTAGCGAACGTTACATCACAGGCATTCTTTCTCCATTCATCTGGCCATCCCCACACCATGCCGGGCTCAAGCTGCCAGCTCCAACCTTATTTCTCAGCAGTGCAGGGGGATGGCCCATTGTTCTTTCCAACTTCAGATTACAGGGTTTGTGTTATCAGACACGGCAAAATTTCCCATGGTTGACCATCAGCAACCATGGAATTATAATTATCTGATTATAGGTAGAATGGAATGCTTCTTTGGGCACATCTGCATTTCATCCCGGATACCCTGCGCCTTTTTCACTCTCGCTGTGGGCACTCTATGTGTCTGATTCCTTTAATCACCAGTTTAAGTTTAAGGATATACATCACAAACATTCTTTCTCCATGCATCTGGCCATCCCCGCACCACCCGCGGCTCAAGCTGCCAGCTCCAACCTTATTTCTCAGCATTGCTGGATGGCCCATTGTTGTTTACAACAACAAATTTCATTTCGCTTTTCATCTCCTCAAGTTAAGCGACTGGAGACACAGTTGACCACCTCACCTGCATCGCCATTGAACCAGCACGAGCTTGTATCTCTCAATTTCCCATATAGGAAATTGGACAGTAGCCTTCTCTCAGCATTAGTCAAGCTGCTTCGGTCCACACAAGTCAGACTTTCTGCCATTCATACAAACAACAGGCACAGCCAGGAAGGAGGGAGGAAGAAGGGGGTTGGGGGGAGGCATGCAGAACATCCTTGAGATTTGCGAAAATGATGGTGCACAGCCATCCCCTGGCTGCCAGAAGGTAGGTGTATCACATTATGTGTGCCAGACGGGTAGGCCCTCTCCCGACAAAAAACTACATGTTGCTCTAGTTGGCAAATACTTGACTTGCTGTGATTCATGCATACAACACGCACAGCAGTGGAAGTGCGAACTTTTTCCCAAAATGATGACCCAAAGGCCTCTTGAGGCGGGCAGGAGATATCTGGGTGGCATCACATCTCATAATTGGATTGATGGGATGCTGCCCCTCAAGACCACCTTCTTGCGCCAGACAAGCACGGAGCCTTAAGTGCCCTACCTTTCCTAGTCTCACAGTTCGAAGGCACAGCTCACCAAAAGTCTGGCTCGGATGAAGCCACTGTCCTCAATCCACTCTTACTCCCAACCACCAGTACTTGCACGTCTGTTTTGACAAATCTGAAATTTTGGCAGCAGGTGCACCCAGGGAGTGGTTAATGTGCCCCCCTAATATACCGCTGGCCCCTTTGGGGGCCATTAGAGATGGCGCTGGTTTCTTTCTTTGCAATGCCGGATGCCATTACCGAACACCACACTAAGGGCCAGCCACCATTACTGGACACGACAAGGGCCAGGCCCTTTTTGGTGCTATGCCCATGCCCCTCCGGGGCCGTTAAGAACGGCATTATCACTGCAGCTGCTTGCCACTCTCGGTAGCGTAAGGCGGTTTACCTTCCACCAAAACAAAGGCTAACACAGAGGTCAAACTCCAAGCAACCTTGCTAGGTCTATGGAGGTGAAAAAAGCATCCCGGTTCATGCTACCTTTGTTGGACCACTGGAGCCTGACCCCAATCCCCAGGTCCTGTTGAAGACAACCCTGGGAGGGGCAAACGGTGCTCTATCTGGGTCGCCCGGTGACTGCAGCGTAAAATTAACCAGGCTCATGCAAGCTTAGCAAAACCATAGCACTAGCAGGGGGCCTGACCCTGATTCCCAAGATGTGGCACTGGTTTCATAGTTGGGAGGGTCCCGAAGGACGGTCATACTTGAGTCCAGAGAGAAAAGGGCATAAGAGTAGCCTGAGCCCATTTCATTAGACGTACAGGCATCTCTGAATGCTTCGACGGGCAGCATTAAGCTGCTATGGACAACCGCATCGTAACTCTCAGGAGGGATAAGGATGTGGCGCTGGCTTCAGATATCTGAGAATGTGAGAAGGCAGACATGGCTGAATGAGGATGCGGCACTGGCTTCAGGCATCTGGCAATGCTCTGGTGGCCATGGCTGAACCTGGCAAACATTGCCAGAGGATCAAGCACTCGCGCCAAGGCAATGGACAATAGAGGTTACACACCAGGCATGGTGCCTGAGCAAGAAATGACTGAGAACGTGGAGAGTACCGGAGAGTAGCGCTCCATAAGTGTGCCCACCTCTCTCAAAGAAAAGCTGTGTGATTCTAGCATATCTCAA